CGTTTCATATTGTCAACAAGCTCGCGAGCAGTTTCACGAGAATTCCATGGCATACGCCTTGCAGCCTGTGCAACAGGGCCACGATCACGTGTCTCAATCTTATGTTGAAGCACCGAAGTGCGACCAAGTTCGGATGGGTTCAATGCGATCGCATCACGGTACCGAAGTACAAAAGTCTGTACGCAACCCATCTCCTCCAAGGAGATGTCTTGTCCGAGACCGGTCCCAAGGCCGTCTCTAGCACCCCGCGTTCCCGTGTGTTCCAGGATCGAGTACACATCGTCCACACACCTAGGCTCCAGGATCGAGTCCAGCTTGTCCAACCTACAGGGCTCCAGGATCGAGTCCAGCTCATCCAACCCACAGGGCTCCAGGATTGAGTCCAGCTCGTCCAACCCACCAGGTTCCAGGATCGAGTCCAGCTCGTCCAACCCACCAGGCTCCAGGATCGAGTCCAGCTCGTCCAACCCACCAGGCTCCAGGATCGAGTCCAGCTCGTCCAACCCACCAGGTTCCAGGATCGAGTCCAGCTCGTCCAACCCACCAGGCTCCAGGATCGAGTCCAGCTCATCCAACCCACAGGGCTCCAGGATTGAGTCCAGCTCGTCCAACCCACCAGGCTCCAGGATCGAGTCCAGCTCGTCCAACCCACCAGGCTCCAGGATCGAGTCCAGCTCGTCCAACCCACCAGGTTCCAGGATCGAGTCCAGCTCGTCCAACCCACCAGGCTCCAGGATCGAGTCCAGCTCATCCAACCCACAGGGCTCCAGGATTGAGTCTAGCTCGTCCAACCCACCAGGTTCCAGGATCGAGTCCAGCTCGTCCAACCCACCAGGCTCCAGGATCGAGTCCAGCTCGTCCAACCCACCAGGTTCCAGGATCGAGTCCAGCTCGTCCAACCCAACAGGCTCCAGGATCGAGTCCAGCTCGTCCAACCCACCAGGCTCCAGGATCGAGTCCAGCTCGTCCAACCCACAAGGTTCCAGGATCGAGTCCAGCTCGTCCAACCCACCAGGCTCCAGGATCGAGTCCAGCTCGTCCAACCTGCAACGCGGGCCTGCTACTGGACCCTTTGCGCCAATACGCAACTGCTTCAAGACTCTGATGGGATCCTCTGTCTTACCTATTTGAACCGAGGTTTCTCGCTGGCCATCGGCCACAGTATCTTCGGTCCCGATGTTCATGACCTCAGATATTGGTTCTAACCGACCAATCTGCAGCGCCCTCTCTAGAGCAACTGCCTCGTCAGAGTAATTCAACACCCGTACGGGAACACCACTCACTGTAGGCCCCACTAGCGCATGCGCCATCATCACATTGTTCATCCCTTGAAATCACCCATCGGGTATCTTCAAGGCACAGGTCAGCAACCCTTCCGACTTGTCTAGCACGGCGTTAACCATCACCTCTGAAAATGGAAGTATCACTTCACGACTCCGCAAGCGAAGAACGTGCTCTCATTTGCCATCACTATCATGGCTCGGCGGAACGATGTCAGCTTTAGAAGCTTAAAATGCAGTGCTCCCCCACCCAAAGTGATCTCGCAAGGAATTGGGACAGCACATCGCGTCCAATGTCAGAACCAGTCAGCAGCATCATACTCAGTACGTGACAAAACACCACAGGGTGCGGACGTCGACAGTGGGGCTATATCTCAAGCTTTATTATGAGCTTGTAAAATGCACTTAAGCTGGGTTTTGCCCATTTTTGCGCTTCCCTAGCCAGTCAGGTGCTACGACCCAATCAGGCTACGGGCATCCAGAAGTCTTTGCAAAAATCCCAGCGTTCTACGATAAACTTTGAGGGAATTGTATTGCGATGAGTATTTCCCTCGCAATTAAGGAGGTTCACGACAGCAAGAGTACATAAACCAGAGTGTGCAACTGTGCATATCAGATCTGAAACAGCGCCGTTCGTACACTACGCCACCCTGATGAGGTCAGCCAAGCCGCGACATGCGTACAGCTCAAATTTTCATGTTTCATAGCCCGGAAATCAGCCAAGTTTGCTTGATTTTAGACGCCCTGTTTCAGGATTTCGGTGTTTTGTGTGACTGTGTGTGCTTCGTACATCCACCGACAAGTAAAGTCACCAGGCTATCAAAAAACCGAAATCAGGACAAACTCAGTGACCTGCACCACCGCGACTGGTTACGCAACTTTTCACCGTACCTGTGGCTTACCATGCCGTCAGAAATGACGTACTGCACGAATTACGCTCCCATAGGAACCATCCCGAGTTGCACACTCTGGTTTATGTACTCTTGGCGACAGTTATCGCCATTTTGGCCAAGACCGAAGGTTGTGAGTTCGAACCCCACTTTCGGGAACCTTTTTTTCTTTGTTTCTTTTCCAAATCAAGGTTTGTGGGTTCGAACCCCACTTTTGGCGACCTTTTTTTCTTTTTTCTTTCCCACATCAAGGTTTGTGGTTTGAATCCCAATATGGGCAATTTTCTTTTTCTTTCAATTACGTTGATACTTATGCAGGGGCGTAGCGTAGCTCCTTTTAGTCTGCTTTGGACGGTCATGTGACGTGACATAGGGTACAAAATTCATCCTATTTTTATTTTTGCAGCGAAGGATTTTTGCTCGGCCAGCTCCTTTTATTTTGAAGTTTCGCGGTAAACTGCACTCAGAAATGAGTGTGATGCAGCAGACTACATTGTATACCATGGTATACGTTGTACATGTACATCATTCCCTTTCATCTTGAACTATATGTACATGTACTATCGGCTGCTTCTTAAAAAGGCTTTTCTGGACGCTGCGACAGTTGGACTTGCAAACAAGCATGGCTTCTTTCCCTCAAATAGCAGGGAGCAGCAAGATGGAACAAAAACAGCACAGTGTAGTCACTTCACACCATGGAGCATTAAAACACCGGTACTTGCTGCTCCTTGCTTCACACTCAGCTCCTACCCCCCCCCCCCCCCCGCGCGCTCAGGTCACGCAGCTGTTGTACAGTTTCAAAGGTGCTGAAAATGGCTGCATGTCCAATCCTGTTCAAGACTGATATACAGTATAGCGTGTAGAAAACATGTGTGATGAACCTATTCAGTACATGATTGTACAAGTACAGTGCACTCATCGAAACACTGATGAACGAGGTTACGTTTAACGCGGGCACTTGTGATACTTTTTATCCTGCTTTTATTTGGGCGTTGTGCGAACATAGTGCGTCAAACTCTAGCTGCTTTGTTTGGGAGTTTTGCGATAGGGCGTTAGCCGCCTGCTTATGGAATCCTATTCACCACACCACCACATTGCGCTTTTGGCCGATCCAAACTCTGTACTCACATCACCATCACCACAGCGAGAACAATTCCGGTATAATATTATAGATTGATATTGACAATGACCCTTCAGACAATTTAGCCCTATAAAGATCAGTCTATTCTTATTATTCTTTCATTGAACATCGTATGCCTCCACTGATGTGCTCAGGAGGAGCGAAACAGCTGTCTGGAGGGTCTTTGTCAAAATCAATCTATATACCGGAATTGTCCTCGCTGTGGTGATGGTGATGTGAGTGCAGAGTTTGGATCGGCCAAGAGCGCAATGTGGTGGTGTGGTGCATTGGATTCCATAATGGCCGGGTCGTCGCTACTTCTTCTCAACTACGTTGATACTTGCTTTTAAATTGCCTAGGAGGCATTACCAAAAAAGACAGAACTATCTGGGTTGTATTTACCTTTTTAACAAATCAAATTGAGCCACTTTGCATGCCTGAACATACAGTATCAAAATATGACATTTTTCGTACATTTATTAGTAGTGTTTATTGTCTCAACGAATATGGGGACACCCTGTTTTTATTTGGCAAACCTGTCCTTTTCACGAAAGGATCCCATAAACGCATGTTCATGAAAAATATTACGTTGGAAATCTTGTGAGAAATTACTGGCTTTTCTCCTTTTTCGAGGAAAAGCCAGCTTTGCATTCTGCAATTTTCGGTGGAGTGCTTAGTCCCAATGACATTTTCCTACTTTCTTTACAATCCAAACCGAGTCGGTTCGTATTCCCGAAAGTTTCAATGCAATGCTGCAAGAGATTATAAAGATAATACTTATAGTAGAAAATGCGCAACCACTCAGCAATGTCCGTAAAAATTAGGGGTGGAAAAGTGGCTGAAGTTGACAAAACGGATATGGGGACCACCCTTTTTTATTTCAGAATTTGACACCTAAGGTATCTAAGACTCCAAGCAATCTGTTCACATCAAAATATCATGATTATGAAATTTTGCCTAAACTGTCCCAAACCTCCTTAACATGACCCTGGCGTGTACGCTTGCTTCGCTCACTGTACTTTTACGTTGATGCTCGTCATGTCTACAGAAAGTGTATTCCTTATGGATGGAGCCTTCCAGAAAGCTCAAGATTGTGAAAATCGACCTACAAGTTATTAGTGGAGGTATTCAACTTATCGTTGGAAAAGAAGTATGTGCAAGAATGCCGATTTCGCATTCGACGAGATCAGTTCTAGTCCTTAAAGATTGGGAAGAGAAAAGGTGGCCACGATGGCCCACCTCATGGCATGAAGTTCCGCGCTGTGCGTGCCACCAATTTTGACACGTGGACTGTTGAGAGCAACAAGGTTTCTGTGCGGTTTCCAGAGAAAATGTGTTCGTTCAAAAGCTTCCCGGAGTCTTTTATCATTGGGTCGAGAATTAAAAAAATGTTGGCTTTCAAAGACTTCTGCGGCAAAAATGGTATGTCCGTGAAGTGTCAGGACATTACGTCAGAACGACCATGATTTCTTATCACATGGCCTGGAACACCAAACGTGCACATGTGCTTCGTAACAAGCAGGGGGGGGGGGGGGGGGGGTGGGGGCACAATTAAATAGAGGGCTATATATTTTTTCACGTGCTCTTAGAGACTGGGGCACTCTTCAACATAGGACACTATTCAAGAGAGGGGTCTAATCGCGAAAGCACGGTAATCCTTCTTTTCTGCTCCTACACAAACCAGCATGCACCAGGGATATCCTGACTTACCGAAGTTTTCGCTTCCAATGGTTGTCCAGCATTAAGTAGATATTCTAGTACGGACACATGACCTCCGCTTGCTGCATAGTGGAGTGGTGTCCAATCATCCTGGAAGTAACATCATTAATGAATACAAACCATGTACACACAAACACACACAAACACATACACATACATACATACACATGCACACATACACGCATATGCGTGCACGTGCGTGTGCACACATGCACACAAGCGCGCGCATGCGCGCACACACACACACACACATGCACACACACACACACACTCACACACACACACACACACACACTCACACACACAGAGACACACAGACACACACATACATTAAGTTAGTAAAGGCAACACAGGCACTGGCATAGAGAGTCCCGCATCCTTATCGATGAAGAATTAATAGGGAATTGATGCCTTCTACAGTAGTACCAGGCTGGTCGCTAGTCACGGTGGTCTTTAGTACCAGGCTGGTCGCTAGTCACGGTGGTCTTTAGTACCAGGCTGGTCGCTAGTCACGGTGGTCTTTAGTACCAGGCTGGTCGCTAGTCACGGTGGTCTTTAGTACCAGGCTGGTCGCTAGTCACGGTGGTCTTTAGTACCAGACTGGTCGCTAGTCACGGTGGTCTTTAGTAGCAGGCTGGTCGCTAGTCACGGTGGTCTTTAGTACCAGACTGGTCGCTAGTCACGGTGGTCTTTAGTAGCAGGCTGGTCGCTAGTCACGGTGGTCTTTAGTACCAGACTGGTCGCTAGTCACGGTGATCTTTAGTACCAGGCTGGTTGCTAGTCACGGTGGTCTTTAGTACCAGGCTGGTCGCTAGTCACGGTGATCTTTAGTACCAGGCTGGTCGCTAGTCACGGTGGTCTTTAGTAGCAGGCTGGTCGCTAGTCACGGTGGTCTTTAGTACCAGACTGGTCGCTAGTCACGATGATCTTTAGTACAGGGCTGGTCGCTAGTCACGGTAGTAGTATAGTGCCGTAGGGGTTCTGATCCAAAAGTGACCTTTGACCCCTGGCTGCCAAATAAGGAAGAATAGTCCATATATGGCAGATGACCTTTGACCTTTGAGTTGACCTTTGACCTTTGAGGTGCCATATAAGGCAGAATAGTCCATATATGGAAGATGTCATTTGACCTTTGACCTTTGGTGTTGACCTTTGACCTTTCCATATAAGGATGAATAGTCCATATATGGAAGATGACCTTTGACCTTTGACCTTTGACCTTTCCATGTGACCTTTGCTGTGACCTTTGACCTTTCCAAATACGGCTGATTGGTCCATAGAAGGAATGTGACCTTTGACCTTTGGGATTGGTCTATATATGGGGTGAAGTGTCCTTATAAGGAAGGTGCACGTGGTTCAGGTCATAGAAGGCATGTGCCATAAAGGGGTGAAGTGTCCTTATAGGGAAGGTGTACACGGATGATGTCATAGAAGGCATGTGCCATAAAGGGGTGAAGTGTCCTTATAGGGAAGGTGTACACGGATGATGTCATAGAAGGCATGTGCCATAAAGGGGTGAAGTGTCCTTATAGGGAAGGTGTACACGGATGATGTCCTATAAGGCATATTCCATAGTAGGGTGAAGTGTCCTTATAGGGAAGGTGTACATGCTGTAGTTTTTAAATAAGGCATATTCCATAGTGGGTGGAAGATGCCTTATATGGCATGCGTATCCTGGCCAGGTCATAGTAGGCATGCAGTTGAAACAATCATTGAGGTCCTTTCTGTCTGAGGCTTTGAAGAAAAGAAGCATCATGTAACAAAGCTGGGTTCGTACCCGCAACCTCTCGTACGGAAGGCATGAACTGTACCAAACGACCAGGACGACTACACACAAGACCCAAGGCTCAAATCACCTATTTATACCCGGACCGTAAAGAAGAAGAAAAAACGCATCATGTAACAAAGCTGGATTCGTACCCGCAACCTCTCGTACTGAAAGCACCAACTGTACCAAACGACCAGGACGACTATGCATAAGAGGGAAGGCTCAAATTGACTATATATACTGGGACCGAAGCTCACCAAGGTCTCGCTGGATGAGACATCAGCGACCTATCGACAATGTCATCGAGCATGGAAAGAAGGGTGGGTGGTGGTGGTGGTGGTCATGGTGGTGGTCATGGTGATGGTGGTGGTGGTGGTGGGATCAGCATGGCATCCAACAGATGGACAGTCGCCAACAATCACTACCCGTGCAGGATCATGATGCAAGTCAACCCGCGTACAGAGCACTCGTTTCATTTATTTTATATTTTATTTTTTCATATGAATGACATTGTGAATCATGATCTAAGACTGTTCACATCCTTCTTTGTGAGCCAGGTATTGAATTTATTATCCGTGTAGCCTTTCCATTGCACAAGACGTTGATCCTTGTTGTATTTCAACACCTTATCGAATCTCAAACCGGTCTCTCTGGCGTGTTGCAGTTCTGCTTCGTAAAACGATCCGATGATGTGTTCTCCCATCAGATCACGAATCCTGTAGGTGTGTGGTGATGTTGGTAGGATGTCATCCACCCTGAATACTTCCTCCGTCCAGTTTGCAGTGTAGCCCTTCTCGAAATGACGCTTAGATACGGTTAAGCGCACCTCATCATCCACTTTGAACTTGGGTTTCGACTGCAGGGGGTCTTGTTGATCTGCATCTTTTGGTATTCTACCGTTCGATGCTTCGGTAGGTGTCATTCCAATGCTTCTATGCTTTGACTGGTTGTAGCGGTCTAGTAGTTGAGGTAGGACGTTGAGGTACGTGTTCGTGGATTTCTCTGTAAAGTGACGCCACATTCTTGACTTCAACGTTCTATTGAAGCGCTCGACCACCACCGCTTTACCCTCGTTATGGGTGCTGTACATGATGACGTTGTGTTGTGATAACCATCGTTTCATGGGGGCATTGTAGAATTCCTTGCCTTCGTCTACCCAGAGTTTTAACGGTGTCCTTCCGGATGTACTGACAATCTCATCGAACGCATCTCTCACGGCGATACCCGTCTTCGATTTCAAAGGCATTGCCCAGGCATAGCGGCTGTATAAGTCGATGACTGTTAGCAGGAATTTGATGTTCTTATTGCTTCGGGCAAACCGTTGCATATCCACGAGATCTGCACTCCATATATGGTCAATTGCTCTGCTCTTCACCTTGCGTCTTTTGAAATGCACTCGTCTGGGCTTGTGCAATTCGTTAGCCAGTTTCGTATGGAACTGTGCGGGTTGTATCTTCTTCTTCTTCTTCTTCTTCGGTCTTCCATTATGAATTGCCCTTTGCACTTTGGTGTCCCACAAGACTCCACCACCACCTTGCAAGGCACCTAAACTGAGAACCAGTTTATCGTTTTCCAGCTTTTCGTCATCATCAAAGACTCTTCGGAAAATTCGAAGTGCTTCATCCAGACCATATTTGGAAAATAGCTTTCCCATCAATATGGCATACCATCCACATACTGCTGTGCTTCTGTCTTGAACGGCTTGGGTGTTGGTGATGATCTTACAGTCTGCGTAGGCTTCTTTAAAGAAATCGCACAGTGCAGGTTCAGTGTAATCTTGCTCCATAGTGTATAGACTGCGTCCGAAACTGTCGAAAACCAAGATCACGTTTTGCTCGCGACACACGGTCAACCAATGATGTCCGCCTTCCGTTGCATCGTACACCGGTAGAACGTTGTCGGTGTTGACGATACAAAAGTCTCCATTGTTCAAGGGTGGCAAGAGGTCGTAACTCGTACAGCCCACGAACCCTTCGACACCATTCAATCTTCCTTTGATATCGGCACTGCTGAGAGGATAGTCCATTCTTGATCATAGCCTGAAAATATTTGGCACGTGATCACATGGAGCGTCCGCTCAGGATATCCTTGATGATACGAGTGATTCTGCTTTTGTCCTTCAGCACCTGTTGAATGAATGATGCATCGTCCACCATCACCTTTTGTGCTCTGATCATGAAATGCTCGGGATGGATCAATTTTGCTTCTGTTGTTCTACCATAGGTGGAAGTCATATCGTTGAGATCTTGAAACTTGAGCTGTGATCCCGGTACAGCTAGCACAAGGGTGGTTAGTTCATGAATCTTTCGTTCCGATCGAAGGAACCCATCGACGTGTTTGTCGATTCCCATGGCACCTGCTATGGCTGCAAACGGGTACCTGGACATGTAGATGCGATTCGTCTCGTTCACCAGAGTAGTGTAGTCGTCCAGCGTCTGCGTCTTCAGGGCATCCGCAGCCGCTTCCACCCGACTCCTGAACCTCAGTCGATCTTCGTCGTAGAGTTGCAGCAGTTGTGATCGGCTTGTGAAATAGTTGCTCTTCAAAAAGGTTACCGGTATATTTGTATGCCGGAGGAAACTGTCCAGGATTTGCAGGATCCATCGGTCAAATTCATGATCTTGTAGTAGATTGAAAGGCACCGATGTTAAAGGTGCCTTTCTCTTCTTCCTGACATCTGCAACGGAATCGCGAACTTGATCGGTAGTGGAATCATAGTTGAGTATGTTGGATGCAATCACATTTCTCACAGACGGGTAACTGATGTGATCGGGATTGTTTTTGAAGTGGGTGTCATATAGACGCTTTACACGCGGATCGGCTTGCAGTTCCAACAGGGTGGAGGTGTTCAAACTGTGATCTGGCACTTGAGAAAGAACTTTCTTGACGCTTTTCAAGTAGCTATTGTAGTTATTACCTCCTTTTTGCCGCATCCGTGGTGGTATACCGAGAACTTCCCACGAATTTGCTCTCTTCTTGATGATGTGCTGGGGATGTTTTGACATAAACTGTAAGGTTTGCAACCTTTTCCGCTTGGGTATCACGAAAGATCCCTTTCTGAGCCCCACTCTTTGTATACTGCTCGGTAGCCCATTGGAGAATTTCACCGTAAGATGCTCCATTCTTATTCATGGTCGGAATTTTTTTTAACGTTTCAGCTAACTTTCGGGCTAACATTATTTTCGGCTAACTTCTGGGCTAACTTTTCGGCTATTATTGGATTTTTATTTTTTATTATTATATATTTTTTTAGAACGAAACAGCATGCTGTCCGCAGATTGAGTATTTTTTTATATTTTTTATTTTATATATATATATATAT